GCAGGAGCCGAGCTCGTGGCATTAAGGGCCGAGCCGAGCTGGCCTTGATAGCCAATCAAATAAGAGATCGGTGGCACACAAATCAAGCTCGGCATTATGAGTTATCGGATTGATAAGATATAATTCTAAGAGAATTAGACTTAATTCACTCTATAAATAGAAAAGGATGGTCCCCTACAAGGGACAATAATAACGAGGGGGGGCGGGGGGGGGGGCATTCACTTCCACAAAAAAAAAAATAATAATAATAAAAATGGCTTGTAGCCCCCATTATCAAGAAAATGTGCTCTTCTTCTTAAAAGTTGGCTCAAGATCGTGTTTAGCAATTTTTGACATCAACAATTCTCAGCGTGTTCCTCAAAATTGATGTATATAATTTGAAGTATGGAATGGTGAAATTTTCAGAATTAATAGCAATAAGACTTGCGGCTCAAACTCCTAAACATAGATTTTTCATTGATGTGTTCTCTATTTCTAAGTATCGTGACACCTAAATTATATATGAAACATCTCTTTAATCTATGACACATAAATAGGAGAAAATTCGAATCTAACCTGAATAATTCATTTATTAGTTTATTTCGATAAAGTCTAAAAAATTATTTCATTTGAGTGTAGGTTTAAATCTAACAAACTTTGCAATTCATTTAATAGAGAAATCCTTTATATTAAAAAGGAGTACGAATCAATAGGCTTACTATAAGAAAAATGTTAAAACTTGAAACTCGTATTTTGATTTTACAAAAAAAAAAAAACTTAAATTGTGATCATCGATAAATCTCAAATTGAATATAAATAAAATAAATAATCAACATACAGAGCTTATAGCTGCTCATTTTAAACAGATTGATTTCTTAGAATGGAATCCAACTCTTAATAATTCATTCTTGTAATTATATAAAGATATTATAAAATAATTAGAGTGAGTTGATTTGATTTCAATTGATAGTACAATGATCAGTTTGACAAGAACGTTAGAAATATTTCATCAAGGGAGAAATTGGCATTACTTGGCGGGAGAAAGTCACATTACTTAATTGAGATAAGTTTTTTACGAAAATAATTCAAATCATGTGCTATAACATGTAACTATTAAAACGATCCCACTACATCAAAACCCTCTCGACATTGCCCAAAAACATCTCATTTATTTGTCACTCGATCCCCACTATTTTACTTGCATCTCAAACCAAAATACTAATCTTCACTGCAGAGATTACAAAGATGCATCTCCTTTTCTTATATTGATCCGCTTCTTGGAATCACATCTCAACTACCACAAGTAACAACACCAGTTGTTTGTATTCAGAAAAGTTTTCTACATTGAACTCTTTTACAATTCTTACAAGCTGACAAAGAAGGCAAAATAAGTAATGAAATTCATTGAGAAATATTGGAAAAATGGCATATGCGGTCTGATTTTGACATAATTTTTGAGTGAAATCTGTTCGTTTATTTTGAATGATCAAAGTTGATTCACGTTCTTCTCCGTGAGAACATCGGAATGATATATTTATTTGTCAAAAATGACAATTGGGTGAAAGAAAAATTTGAGTTCAAACTAGACCATTAGAAGATGTTTACATGTATTGGAGGGAAAACAAATAAGGTTTGTCCCATATAGGAAAATGATGAAAGCAAATATGACTTTATATATGGTTACAAGTTGAAAGTATGTAATTATATATAGCATATATGCTCTCTCAACATGCGTACGAAGGGGGGGTGCTTATCAATAACCAAATTAGAACTTCGAAACTTCAATTTGTGTATGGGCGCGACTTGTGCACATAAGTTTCAGACAGAATGGACCAAAATTGGCCCCTTGTGAGTGTCCGTGTTTTGATTTTACTTCCTATAAATTATCTAATTTTTTTCATCCAAATTGACGATTCAACCCCGAAATTGAAATGTAATGGTGAAGTTATTTGAACCTGTTGATGGGAATGTAAATTGTAGTAACACCCATAGTTGTTGGCCTTTCAAGTCACTCAATATGGTGTCATTAATCACTCCTCTTGAAGCCTATGTATAGAGCTTGGTTTTTTCCTTTGTCAGATGGCCATTAATTTTCTTCCTTCTTCTCTGCGCGAAATTTTAGTCGTCTGTCTGCATATATTTGCACTTTCTGTCAATACCTTGGTGATTGTGTTATAATATAATTCAGTTCGTTGGAGTAGCATTTGAAGTGCTCAGACTTTATTGGATTTTCATTGTATCATAGAAGATAGACGTTCGAACGAAACTTCAAGCACCTTCGGTGAGAGGACGAATCCGTTTTAAGAAAACTATGTTTTTACAAACCTCAGTTTGCTAGTTTTTCCCTTCTGCAGTTCAAATTGATTTATTGTTCTGTTTGTAATTTTCTGTTATGTTTTTTTCATTACATAAATAAATATTATACTCTGCAACTAAATTCTATAACAAGAAATCCCATTAAAGATTTGGGAGATTGATAGGACATTAAGTGGTGAAGTAGGTCATACTCACATTATAGATTTATTGTAACTAACCCAATTTATTTCTATGGCAATTTGTTTACTGTTTTGTCTAAACTCACCCCGGCAAGCTTCAAATATCGGTCCCATGTAAACAAGATTTCAACCTGAGGGAAAAAGATTTGATGTCCATTGCTTAATATTCATGCTTTACCATGTATGATGCATGGGGTGGGCATGCATCATATAGTGAGAACTTGTTGAAATTTAGACTTTCTTGATTTGGTCAAATCGAATAGCATATGTCACGTTTTATGTAAATTGTTAATTTAATAGTAGTTGGACTTTTTAGTTTGATAGTTTTTGACACTGAAAAAATACATAAAACTACTATTGAATATTTGAATTGATACTTGATCGTATTAAGGTATTTTTTTTTCTAAGAATTCTTATCGAAATATGCTTTCGAGATATTTTATCCTTTGACTTTAGCAGACTTAAGTTTTTACATAGTTTATGAATCCGGCTTAGCATATTCATCGTGGTATGCGTTTTTTGGCATAATTTTCATCTGCTATATCCACCATCAAATTGTCACCTATTGAATTAGACCGTACCTTATTATAAAAATAAATAAATTACTAATCATACCATTTATAATTTCGTGTGTGGAACACTAGGTCTATATTTGGCTCAACATGATATCATATCTTATGTGAATGGTATCCTACAACAATACTATATCCATAGCCAACACACACGAGATAGCATAAGTGGCTCTTGGAGTGATCACTTCGGGTTTTCTAATCATCGCGGACTCACGAAGTTTTGACCTTGTTTGAAGACTTTGAACACTCCTTTGAGATGCTTAAGATTGGACTTATATGCTTCTGCCTTGTCTTTCAATGTTATGGCTCGCTTTAGTACCTAAGTTGGCATCTCGGCCATCTTTGCGATACAAGGATGACTAATCGATAAACATAGAGCCTTTTGATTAAGAATATGCATTCTATCTTACTCATTCATACCCCAAATGACACACGTTTGATCATTAGGAAAGCTCACAACTTCAATATCACATCAGTCCCTTTCTGTGTGGAAGGTCACAAACTTTGACATGAAGTCAACATGCAATCAACAACTCAAAGTTGTTATATTAGTAACTAGGATTATTTGTACAAAACATCTCTATATTTGGCCTTTAGCCCTTGTTTGAGTCTCATTCTTTTGATAGGAATGAATTTTTGAATAACATATTGCTGAAAAATGTGTTATTAAAAAAATAAGGAAAAATTTTGGATTTATGTATAATATTATTTTATTGAAAAATGTGTAATTGAAATAATGTCAAAATATCATTTAAGAATATATATATATATATTCAAAGAATGGGGATCAAATGGGGGCTTAGTGTGCAAAATGTCATTATGTTTCAATTTTTTTGCATTTTCACCCATATTTTCATATTTCATTGTCATTTTCATCAATTTTTTTTAACAATTTCTCAATTAAAAATTATAAAATAACAAATATACTCTCCTATTCTAATAAAATAAAACAAAAAAAAAAGAAAAATTGCAATAATACTTCCACATATTTTTTAAAATTTTTAAACAAGATTTTGTGTTCTTTCATTCCAAATTCTAATGCTCTTACTCCAATTCCTAGAGAATTTTACACTTATAGACAGCAAAGTTTAAAAAAAAAAAAAAAGAAAAAAAAAGGGAAAATTCGCTCAAACAGCCAGATAACACAATGATTTTTGACAAATGGCTTCTGATCGAAAATGAAAAAATTGAAATTCAAGAGGTTTTAATTGATAAAAAGACAAAATTGCCATTCAGTTTTTAACTCAAATATCACCTAATTTTCCCTCATTTCACCCGTTTCTTCATTAAAACCCTATTCTCCCAGTTTCAAAAATTAACGTCTTCCCTTCTTTTTTTATCTTCTTCAACTGGAATTCCTCTCTTTGCTATGACAACGGTGGAATCGAACGCAAATCAAAGGTACGACTTGCTTCATCTGGAAATTCTCTCACTATCCCTAATCGTATTCTCCTAGTTTGGACTGCACTAGAAATGGCTTTTAAGATTTTCTTGAGAAAATGTTACCTCAATTTCTTGCTCTTTATTATTAGTATCATCTTCTTCTCATTTTATTATATTATCTTGTGAAGAACATGGATCTTCAACCTTAGATTCTGAAAGAATATCGAATTTAATCTCCATTTGTTCTTCTTTGATGGGAAAAAAACTCTGTCCCAGTTCTTCCAGATTGCAACTGTCAGTATCGTAATTTGTGGTCTGTTGTGGGTGGTAATATTTCCTTAAAGTTTTTGCTGATGTCCTTTAATCAGGCTATCGGTGCAATCACTCCATTTTTTACTGCATTGTTTGCTTATTTTATGACCCTTAAAAGGGAGGCTTGGGTTACTTATGGTTGTCTTGTACTTGTGGTTGCTGAGGTTGTCATTTCAAGCGGGCACGTTTTTTCTTTTCTCTAAAATTAGTACTTATAATCTGCTTAATGAAAAATAAGCAGCCTTTCTTGTTTTTTGAATCTCTACACACTTTGATGCAACTTATGCATGTGGTTAAAAAATGGGGACCATGTACAAATGTTTAATTTCTCTTCATATTTTTTCAACTATTATTTCACCACATTTATTTTAGCACCAAAAGCCTTTTTCGCTAAAGTATCTATCATCACATAATTTACATTAAGTTTATGTTTCACTTCCACTTTCTAAAATCCATTTATTTTTATCTGAGCGTTTGTTCGATAATTGATTGCATTGAGAAATAAGATTCCTAACTCAATTATTATTTTGCATTTTAATTAGGAAAAAATGAATGCGGAAGACATAATGAATGTGATGATAAGTAATAGGTGTGAAATGAAATTGATTGATGAAGTTTTCTATAGCTTGGATGATAAGTATCAAGACCTATTCACAAACTCCTGTTTGGACATTTGATGAGCTTGAGGGACATAAAGCTTGCATTACAATTGGTCCACCGGTTAATTCTGAGATTGATAAGTACCTTAAAAGAAAATGAAGTACGGATTAAAATTTGAGACAAGCTTACAAAATTTGGATTACAAGAGTTCACGTTGATAACTGGGCTTAAAGCTGGGGATTTGAAGAACAAGGATCCGACGTTAGGGTAAAATTGTAGACTCGTGGAGGAACATTTCAAGCGTAGCAACGGAAAAATAAAGAGGGGTTTATTGTTAGATGTTTTCAAACATTGCAAGCATAAGAGTGATAAATATGAGTTGGGCCTCCTCGTTATATTGGTGTATGTACTTTTGCCAGTAGAGGAGCATACATATATTAACCCGTGGTGGTTATTTTTGGTGGATGATCTCGATAGATTTAACAATTATTCGTGGGGAAAAAGTCATATGAGTATACTATTAAGGCGCTTAAACCTAATTTGGGAGAAATGTTGAAGAATTATACAACTTCTCAGCGATATCCGTGTTCTCTGCATGGATTTCTCTTTGCAATCATGGTAATATATTTAAAAACTATTTTATATATTACATTTTTTTTAATTATGTTATTGAAAATTACATTTATGATTGTACAGATTTGGGCGTTTGAAGCAGTTTCTAGTATTTGAAAGAAATTTGGTTGTGTGATAGATGATTCTAGAATTCCAAGAATGACAGGCTGGGAAATGCGCAAGCAACTTAGGGAGAAATACTTTGCACATTTTGGAATCATCAAATTTGAGTTTTGTTTATTGAAATCTACATGGCGTATTGATATCTATAACTAAACAATTTGTTGAATAACTATACATTTTTATTTTTTCAAATTGAGATACACTGTACGTTAAATCCTATGGATGATGAATTGTTGGAGCCATTTTGGCTATAAATTGGACCTTTTGATGATGAAGCAGATCCTAAGCTAGATAATGTCGAGTTTGAGGATGATGGCGGAAAAAAATATGAGAGTGACTATGTACCATCAAGTTCCGATCGCCCACAATGTCCTAAGACATCAGATTGACCATCTGTGTCTAGCCATCAACATTCATCTAAAACATCTGGCCATCCCTGTTTTTTTTTCCATCTTCACGTGGGCTCAGACAGGGTAATTCCATCTCACGTTCCTTGTTCATTATTGTTGCAGACAATTTCCCTCACATTGTCACTCAGCAGTTTCAAGCCTGTCCCAGTATGCAATATCGGCATGGAGGTAGCATCCTTGTCTCTCATATTTCTTCTGCTGATAACATGATCATATTCGCCAATGGCCAGAAACAATCTATTAGGAGGGTTCTCGATTGTTTGGAGCATTACAGGGGGTTTTTGGCCAGTTGGTAAATCGAGATAAGAGCGATCTTATACTACCCAGATGAGCATCAGATATTCAAGTCAGGAAACTTGTGTTTTTGATTGAGTTTACTCATCAATAGCACCCGTTTATGTATTTGAGAATTCCCTTGTCTAAGGGGGCCAAGAGAAATTTTTTATAGGATGACCTCATCATGAAGATCAAGAGCAGAATATTAGGCTGGGCTTCTCAACTACTATTACCTGCAGGCCGAATTACTTTGTTTAAATCACTACTATCATCTTTACCACTTTTATTATTATTATTTTTTAAAAATTATGCGGCCCCCCAAGGCTATACCGAAAAAGTTGGAGAGCATCTTTGCACGATTCCTATGAAATTCTAAGGAACAGCCACGTCAACTACACTGGAGGAGTTAGAAGGAGATTTTCCTTCCAATAGATGAGGGCGGACTAGGCTTTAGGAGATTTTACAGGATGTAGGGGACATTTCTTTGTGAAGCTTTGGTAGTTGTTTCGGTCTCATAGTTCTCTCTGGACTCAGTTCTTACTAGGCAAATATTATATGGGGGCTCATTCATCACTTGCAGCGGTTCCCTACTAGGACTCTACTACCTGGAAAAGGTTGAAAAGAGTTGTGCCACACACTAAGCTACACATTGCATGGCACCTTGATGTAGGACATATGTTCTTCTGGTACAATTGCTAGATGGGTGATACTACACTGGCATCCATGTTCCCATATAGGCAGCACACATCTGCAAGGTTACATGATTTTTTATAACACTGGATGAGATTTTGGACGATTATTACTGGCTCTTCCTCACATAGGGGGATAGATAGGTATGTAGAGATGTCCCAAACCGTATTATGTGGAAGGTTACATCGGATGGTATCTTTGCTAAATCAATTTGGTTCGCTAATCTCAGGACTCGTATCAATTAATGTGGAGCTCCATTTTGCTTACATGTGTTTCATTCTTCTGCTCGTGATTATAGCAGGATCTCATTCCAATAGGTGTTGTCATTTAGAAGAGACTGGGTGTCAGTTCGCTTCTCAATGTTAGTGTTGTTCTGAGATTGAGACCATCAGTCATATTGTCACTAGTAACAGCATATCTGATCAGCTATGGCAATACTTTGAGGACTTTTTTCACATACTTATGAGATCAAGAGAAGGGGTTAGACAAAGATTTTAGAGATGAAGATATTATGTACAGTAAATTTGCTGTGGACACATTTGCACTATCATTCCTCTATTGATATTCTAGTTTTTATAAATCGAGAGGAATGATACGAAACATAGGAAGATCCTGATGGTGGCCAGACGGATCATTTGGAAGGTATACCGCATGGTCTCTTTTCTTCATATGGGAGAACTTTTTAGAACTGTGCATTGATGAGGGAACTTAACACTTGCATCATTCTTTGGTATATCTATGACTCTTTCTCCTCCACCACCACCTATTATGATTGTTTGGTGCACCCCACCAATGGGATCTTACGAGATCGACACTGAAGGATCCATCAAGGATGGATTTACGAGTAATGGGGCATCATTAGGGACCAAACGGGACACTACATCAGGGCATTCTCAGCATCTTATGGCCCATGTTTGATTTTGGAAGTCGAGCTCAAAGCTATACTGGACGGGATTCTGTTGGCCAGAGATGTTGGGACATCAGCTACTTAAGTTAAGACAGATTTGACCATGACTATTCACCGTATCACCAAGGATGGAGGACCATAGAAGATTCAAAGCACTCTTCGACATATCAAAGACCTCATCTCATTCAACAGAGACATGGTTTCGCATATCTATAGAGAGGAAAACTAGGTTGCAGACTCGATTTCTTCAGAAGGTTGGGATGATCGGTGCTATTAGGAGTATGGACCATCCGACCTAACACGATAGATTAGGACACTAGTGTAGATCGACAAACATGGACTGCATAGCTTTAGAGGTTTGTATCTTAGGTTCCATTTTTTGCATTAATTCCATTGTACAATGAAGTAGTACTTTCCTATTTATTGCCCTATTTTTTTATTCACTTGTTGCATTGTTTTTCAGAGGTCAGATTTACGTCCCCTCATTCCCTGTATTACTCTTGATTTTTATTATATATATATGGTTGGGAAACCCGTAATCCCTATCGACCCTCTTTAATGGACCATAAAAAGCCACTAAGAATGTGTGGATGTCTTCATTAACACACACACACACACACACACTATTTACTTGGCGACTTCCAACCATTTATCAGATTCCAATCCAATGGTTTAGGTGGCTCCTCAAACAAGAGAAAATCGTGAGGCTACAACAATAAAAGTGCCATGCCTTAAAAACACAACTTTAGCACAATTGGACTCGGGTAAATAGGTCAAGTCACGATTTTGTGCAATTGCAGGTCTTAATGAAAATAGTTTTAGGCCTTAACCTTATCGTCATTTTCCCAAGAGGTAATCGGCAACACGGCCCGACACTTCGAAAATGTGCCCACACATTTTCGATAAAACTACAATCACAAATTAACAACGTCGTAAATAAAATTAACATTTCTTGCGCACATTTTCGATAAAACTACAATCACAATTTAACGACGTCGTAAATAAAATTAGCATTTCTTGTCTACTTTCCATATTATAATATCCCTGTGTGTACCTTCTCTATATAATCGCCACGTAATTTTTTCAAAATCAAAAAATTTAACGTCGTTCTAGAAGAAATTCGAGTAAATGGAAAGGAAAAAAACATTGGATGAATTCCAATTTCGATTTATAGAGACGAGCTCTAAAATTAGTCCAGTTTATGGCACAATACATACATTAAAATCCTGACAGTCAAACATTTCCTAAGCGTCGTTTTCCCTCAAGTCACTGATCCCTGTCCAAGTCTCTCCCACTCTACTCAAACATAACGGTTAGATTCTTCATCGAGTTGGAATTTATCAAACCCTAATCTTTTGTTCAGGTAATTCTCCTCCAATCACTTTTTCTAATTGATATAATCGTGAACACCTAGTTATATATTGAAGGGCATGTTCTTGTCTGTAAATTCCTTTGTAAGCTTTCAAAGCTTTTGTTTATTTTGATTTATTGTTATAGATTGATGTGCTTTTGATTTCCTTGGTTTATGAAATGGAATCACCTATTATAACAAGTTTTGATCGTAAGTTAGGTATATAAGGATCTTTGTCTTGGGTCTATTTTAACATCCCGCATATTCATGTTTTCTTTCTTTCCCAAGATCTTCAATTATCAGCCTCTCAAATGCATACTATATTATAATTAGTGAATCATTATTTCTTTCATGAATTCATCCACCCCTGAATATTCATATCTAACTTTGCATCTATAGTATATATGTTCATTGTGTTCTTGTCATTTGTAATTTCATTTCTTTCATCCAGATCTGAGCAATCAAATCTTCCTTAACAAATCGCACTTTGCTATACACGCTTGTTATATCAGCCAAGTTTCAGGTCTACTTTTGACATCTAGACTCCTGCTTTTGGTAAGTTGCTCTCTTATTCCTTTTGTTTTCTGTAAATATTTTGTCTATGCTGCCATGTTTTAGTTTTTCTCTGAAGCATGGAATGAGAGTATATACATTCCATATTGAGTAGGCGGAAGAAAGACTCTCTTTAGGACTATTAAGAGCTTAAGAAGAAAATTCCATCTTGCTTGCAATTAACTTTCTTAGAATTTTCAGGTAATGTATAGATCCTTTTGCTGAGGCAAATGCCGATAATTCCGGTGCTGGTACCAAAGAATACGCTCATATTCACGTACAACAACGGAATGGTAGGAAAAGCTAGACAAATGTGGAAGGATTGAAGAAAAAATTCATTGATAATAAATTACTGAAGGTTCTTAAGAAATAATTTTGCTACAATGGTACTGTCGTCCAGGACCAAAATTAGGCCAAATGTGTATTGTTTCTTAACATATGATCTATTTCCTTTGTCCGCTTCCTTTTAATTGAAATTCAGCATATTTAATATTGAAGTCCGATTCTCTTGTGAAGGTTATTGAACTTCAAGGTGATTAGCTAAAGAATGTTTTGACATTTCTTGTTCAAGTGATTGATTTTGGCTGTTTCATTACATCTCGTCTTATGTTCATGAGATGTAAGAAAATTGAATAATAAATAACCATGGAGGAAGATGATTTGAAAGCATGTTTTAGTTATTTTATTTAGTGTTTATTCTGATAAAATAATAAGTTACAAAAATTATAATGTGATGGAAATGAGTGGTGGATAAATGTGAAGTAGTTATGGGTCTTCCGAAATGTAGGTTAAAATTATAATTGACTTTGAAAATGAAATTATATGTAACTTACGAAACGACAAACAGATGCTTAGTGCCTCTGTGTGTGTAGAGAGAGAATATTTAATTTAGGGCTTTGGAGTTTTAGTAATAATATTTATTGTTTTAATTTGGTTTCTTATCAGGCTGGAATTATGAAAAAGAAACATATCAATATTCATGGTTTCTCAACAACAACATCAGTTATTGCACAGTTCTTATTCATTCTTGTGCCAATCCAGACACGATATATTAACTCACACTCAAGGCCCGTTTGGAAGGGATTTTGAGAATTATTTTTTGACCGTTAGAAGAAAAGTGGGGTCCACCTGTGAGAGAAGAAGTCAAAATTACGACTGAAATAGTAAAATAATGGTCAAAAAATCAATTTTTTGGGGTAAAAAATCCCTCCCAAACAGGCCTTAAATCTAATGCTAGTTCGAGCAGGATATTTGAACTTAGTCTATGTTGCCTAGTACAACTTCAATGTTGGTTTGATACTGTAAACTTTGTGTTACTGTTTGTAATTCTCCTGCAAGCATTGAATGTTCGTAATGTTGTATTTATTAGCGTTAACAAATGCGTAATATTGGACATTTTTTGGGATTTGACACTCAAACTTTGCTGCTACTTTATTCTGTATATCCATGTTCTATTAGTCCCGAGGCATCTTTCTATAATGCTTACAACCTGTGTAGAAGGAAATAACAGTACATGCATGAAATATATCACATTACATGAAATTCAATCTACTTTTATCAATTATCAGGATTGTAGCATTCTAGCATTCCATACATAATCAAGGAAGGGGTGAAGGACACTGTTGGCATTGGGCTGGTCCCACTCTAATGATTCCCACCATCCTTTATCTTTTTCCCAGAGTTTTATGTTTTTGAGAGATGGAGGCGGAGATGGTTGTCCATTAAGAGGCGGTAAAAACAAAGGCACCTTCCTTACTTTTGTAATAGATTTTATACGAATTCCCACAATGGAATTACAGATTATTGTCCCCTTGCAGATGCTTTTTAATTCTAGTAGATTGATGAGTTGTAAAAACTTTAACCTTGGTAGGGTGATGTTGGTATTACTTTCTGCAACGAAGCCTCCATCACTTTCATCATCACCTATTATCTCTTCCATTTTTGCACATGAATTAACACTCAGCTCCTCGAGGTTATGAAGGTTTTGTACCAAACTCCGAGGGAGAAGCTTCTTGATTTTTCTGCAATAACTAATCGTCAAACTTCGAAGGTGAGAAAAATGGCCATGTGGAAGCGGTGCAACAGCTGGTGCTACTTCCCACCGGATGAGACCAATAAAATTTGGCAAGTTCTCAAGGCACAAACTTTCAAGGTAATGGAGTGGCATCAAGCGAGACTGTTGTTCTTCTTCTACCGTCAGTTCTTTCTCAAATGACAATCTCACAATGAACTCTATTCCAACCTCGTTTCCAACATAGCAGTGCTTCAATTCTGTAGCATTATTTAATTGTTGGATATCATCAAATAAGCAACTACAGAGACCACACCGGTAAAAATGCACCCTCTCGATATTTCGTGGCAGTGTAATCTCGTCTGTCCCTCTTTCGCCTTTCTTAAGACTGTCTATTCCAAAAGTTATCATTTTTCCTAACCCTGTGCCATAAAGATAAGGAAAACTCTCACCTATTTGAATATTATAGATATTGAGCTGCCCATCTCTTGGTTGAGACTTCATAAATATGTTGAAATCATGCACGTTGCCAAATTTGCCCTGAATTTCTTCTAGTTGTTTCAATCCTGCAACCTCTTCGATTGGTATTGTCATCAGTCGAGGGAGCGTGAGACGCTGAAGAAGTGACAGCCCTTGTAAAATCCCTGATGAAATTTTTACCATACGTGAGCCAATTGTGTCCAAGCATTTGAGGTTGGTTAAACTTTCCACGCCTTGGGGTATTTCCTTAATGACAGTATTACTGATGTCCAGCTCTTGCAGTGCCTTGAGGTTTCCCAATGGTGGTACAAACATAAGTTTATAGCACCGACTAAGTAATAATGCATTAAGTTCTGCCAAGTCCGATATGGAACTGGGCAAGTATTCAATCTCGGTGTGACTTAAATTGAGAACGTGCAAGCCTCGCATTTGCAAAAAGAATGAATCTGAAACCAACTTCAGAGGATTGGACCTTAAAATCAAGGTTGAAAGTTTAGGACACTTAGGTGATGTGGCTCTCGAAATTCCTTCTATCCTGTTCCACATTAAGGAAACCTTAACCAAATCTTCCTTCCATTCCTGCTCCTCTGGAATTTCCTTTAATTGAAGTCCAGCTTTTACCATGTAGTCATCTTTTGTGATCTTTAAAGCCATGTCTCTTATTAGATCATGCATCTTCACACCTAATTCATGAAGAGTTTCACATCTTTCCAATAAGCAAACGTTCTCCAGTTTATTCAATATTTTGTGACCTTGGTCTAAGTATGCTTGCCTGCTTCTTCTTTTTTCCATCAGCCCCTCTGAAATGAAATTTGATATCAATTCATGTCTTAGAATACCTTGGTCTTCAGGATATAGGGAACAATACAAGAAACAACGCTTTAATATGGGATCCCTCAATCGATTAAAACTACACAATAGTATCGGAAACACCTCATCTTCCATGGCATCTCGTCCCACACACGACTCTTTCAAATCTTCCAGGGCATCCTTCCAGTCATAAATGTCAATCACTCCTCTCAAGCTTCCAGCCATGGTGATAATTGCAAGAGGCAAACCAGCACACTTCTTTACCACTTCTCTTGCTATCTCTTCCACTTTGGGTGGAAGTCGATTGCCATAACTAAGTTTGTTCATAAATAGCTTCCAAGCTTCTTCGTTCGAAAAAACTTCCACTTTTAGATACCTTTGGCATTCCATATTGCGACATACCTCTAGTGATCGACTAATTACTATCATCTTAAATCCATGTAGAGAGGGAGAAATTCCAATCCTCTGCAACAAAAAAGGAGTCCAGACATCGTCCAACATGAGTACAAATCTCTTCTTTCTCTCCAATGCCCAACCTAATTTGGCTGCTCTCTTGTGCTCATCATCTTCACCGGAAAGATCTAGATTCAGGGCCTTTCCAATGTCATTCTGCAACTTAGGAATGTTTAAATCTTGCGAGACGGTGAACCAGAATATATTACCGCAAAACGAATTTTCATTCTTGAGCTCATTATAGATACATTGTGCCAGAGTTGTTTTGCCAACTCCTCCCATACCATAGATGCCAATACTCGAGACCTCATTCCCCAATAAAGAAATCCTAACTTTCTCCAAATTTTCTTTAAATGCTTGGCCTCTCCATTCTACAGTTACAAATTTCTCCTCTATTGTCTCACTAAAATCTAGTACAACCCCCTCAGAAAATATGCCTTGATCAAGAAGTCCTGTCACTTCCTCAATCATTTCATCCGCACATTTCGCCAAGGTCACTCGCGAAATACGACTACTTTGGTTCACTTGTGCTTCCAAGCTTTCGAATTCTTTTTGCTTTGATGCTACTTCGCTCAACCAATATTTGACCACACTTTTTCGCCTTTTCCCTGGATGACGTTCTTCCTCTCTTAGCCTTGCAACCATATCAGCTTCTTGACAGCTTAGTAGTTCAACTTTCCTCTTAAGATTTTGCATTTTTTTCTCAAGGTTGTAATAATCGCTCGTCACACTCACCAAAACGTTTGCTAGCATGTCACCCATGGTATTGCCTATAGATAAGACGCCAAAAGCAAATCATAAAAACCCAACCTCAGTAAAAGAACAGAAAAGGAAGAAGATAAAATAATTGCATTTAGATCTTGGCTCTAGGAAAGGATGACAATAAGCACATCAAAATCTTTTCTACGTGAAATTAATCATATTTAATGATTTTTTTTTAAAATTCTTTCGAGGAATTTTTCATATATCTGTTGTAAACCTAGTCAAAGAAACATTTGTACAAGTATATGGAAGTGAAAATTCTTTCTTTCTTTCATTTTTTTTTTTGCAAACTTATTTTCTACTATAATATATAAAACTCAACCTTAGTAACAAAAAAAATAATAATAAAAAAATGAAGAAGACAAAATTATAGCATTTATATCTTGACTCTAGGAAAGGATGACAATAAGCACATCAAAATCTTTCTATAATAACATTAGGAAAGGATGATGCAAGAAAAATAAATTGTATGAAAATTCAAAATTAATAATTAGTTATTCTAAAAGACATGGTGCTTTTTACCTCTCAAAGTCAAAACTAACACTGGAGTTTTAATTGAAAGAAGCTGATAAGCCAGAAGAAAAGAGAAACCAATCAGCCTTGTGTTCCAGTGATTGTTTCCCAGCTGATGAATGGAATGGAAATGTGAAGATAATTCAGCGGCAAACTTAGGAAGAAACAGGTTCAGTTCCTGGATGGGTATGAGGGGACTTCGAAAGTAAGTCTTCATTTTTAATGCTGATCTAAGTTCCAGTTGGCTTATATTATTGATAAATATTGCCTTTTTCAATGACTGAAGCAAACTGAAGTTTAGTTAATTAATTAATTGACGTTTAAGTATATTATAGTTTGCTAATAGACTATTTTGATGGTAAGCTCCTGTCCGGTGAAGATTAAAATCAAATCTTTAGTAGATTTTGAAAGAAGTTAATGAAATGTATAGTTGAAAAATTATAAACTCCTTAAAATATGTGATTTAAATTAATTGTTGACTTTTAGTTTAAATTAAAATTAAAATTTTAATCGGCTAAAAAGAGTTCAAGAGACGGTGATATTTATCTTTATCATCAATTTGGATAGATTCCTAAGTGCTAATGAAAGTTACCCTACGCTAACAAAGAACCTTCGTAGAAAGAGGTTCATAAAAGATTGATTGTTGGCCCACAATTGAATAGAAATGCTTACATTATCTAGCTTTTCTGTCACATGGTTGACGAACTATTTTTGAGCCATTCCACCGCATTATGGAATTGACGAAACTACCTCTAATTAGGGTGGATGGGGTATTTATGTACAGGGCATTGCTGTCATTTGACCATCTAAAATGAGGGCAATCATGGAAATAAAAAAATTAGGAATACGAACGTTTGATATTCTTAGAAATGAATGGAGGAGGGCCAATTTCCTGAATAATTTGTTTAAGATTTGATTTTTCAAAATATCGTATTTTGCTTAAATAAAAAGCTCATTTTACGTTCTATTAAGGCACATTTTTTTCTTTACACTTTCATTTACATTCTTTCACACGACTCCATAACATCCTTTGATTTGTCGAATGATCTTTCATGACACGGTCTTGATAGTATCACATAGGAGGAAATGTCAACCATATGTAAATGAAAATGTACCTTTAGCATTTTCCTTTCAAGTTTTATTACACAAGGACTAAATCAACTTTAGACATGATAATTTAGTAGCAATTTCTTATTTGACCAGTCCATGGATTCTAGAAAGATTAGTATAATGAATATTATTAATAGGCGGCTTGACTAATTGACATTTTTTCATTAGAATATTTTACCTATCCCTATGTTGTAAATATCAATCCAAGAAGAGTGACATTTAAAATATTAAGGCTGAAAATAGATATAATGGGCTATTAGCATTTAATATTGTACAAAGATGTAATAAAAACTAATTAGACAAGATATGATGAATGCCGATGTCCAAAAAAAAAAAAACCAGTGAAGAAAATAAGAGATGGACGAACTAAATAATAGATGAATAGAGATAAATGAAATTTGATTGCTAGGTCGACTACATTAATTTATTTTTTAGTATTTTTTTCACGTTCGTGGCAAGGATAGAAATAAATTTTCTGATATTGCATCTATCTGCCAAAGGAAGTTCTAAGGGACAAAGGTGTGCAACAAGAATACAAGCATAGCATATTCCGAAGGAAGCAGAATGCGGCTATCTTTATCTCAAATCAACAAGTCTGTTAAAAATCAGCAAGTCTTTCTTAGAAATTTCCCAAAAGTATAGCGAATGATAAGTTTATCTTAATTGTGAAGTGTCCAGCCGAAAACTTTGACTATTCCTTTCTAATTAAGATTTCAAGCTGCCCAATTTTCTTGTTTTTAGAGTTTGAAGTTACTCATTCGAAAACAATCCAACAAAATCACTTGAATGTAAGGTGATATACAAGCTAGACTTGTCAACATTCATCTTCAGTCCCAACATGTCACCAAAGCCTGATAAGCAATACTTGGGACAATTTTCAACACGAAAATTGTCCTTTATTAGAATTAATTTGTTTAAATATTGGGCGGTGTAGACAAGTCTAACTTCCTCTTCGTGCTCGCTGAATTCATGTTGCCATCAATCTTGGCCATGTTTAGCTTACATAAATCCATTAAATATGTGATTATAATTAATTATTAATTTTATCTTAAATTTTAATATATCTTTTTAGTTCAATTCAACCATGGAATTAGTAAAAAATATATGACCATTTCATCATTTTACTTCTTACTATTCATAAATTCTTATTTCGAGGAGACAAATTTGTGCTCTTGTTTTGATTTTTTAGGTTGCATTTAATTTGGATTATTTTGAAGAGATATCTATAAAAATTTGAATTTTATTTTTGCTTCACGTGTATTCGAGCCTCTCCAATGTAATCGTGGAGAAGTAAAATAGACGATATTAAAAAAAATTATTTCCAATGTGAACGGTAGGAATTCTGCCAGAGATAAGATATACCATGTTTAGATTTTTTATTATATTTTTTGGTAGCTTTATTAGCCCATGTGACTTAGAAGAATGGTATTGAGTATATATTTCGTAGACATCAAGTCATATATATACTCATCAATACAGTCTACGAATTACTATCTAGGTGCCAATAAGTTAAAACACTTATCTAACAAGACTTCGACTCCATATGGAACTCTATATATTGTTTAATTTTTCTTTGCCACATCAACTTGATAGATGTCCTTTCATTTTTTATTTGAGAGAATATGCGGTAATTTTTTGTAGGAATCCACTGAAGCATGGTGATGCTTTCATAAAATTTACGAGGATATAACAATTATGATGCCTTTTTAACCATAGTCTATAATATTCATTACAATTTATAAAATATTACAAAATAGAGAGAAAATAGAAGGAAAAAAATTCAATATACTTCTTTATTTATTTATTAAGAGGAAATTGCACCAGATGTGAATTTTTTGTTTTGTATTTTCAAAAATGTCACTTTTTAAAAATCTTTGCACGATTGTCATTTTTTTTTACATTTTGCCGCTCTATAGAATTTAAATACCCTACATGTTATTGGTCTGACAACATAAAGAAGTTGTACAAAAAGTGGAGAAGTTGTACAAAAATGATAAAAATCTGACCTCCAATCACCTCAAAATAAGAAATTTTCATACACCCAAAAATTGACAAACCCAAAACCTCCCATTACAACGTTGAAGCAAAATCCACTTACCTGATGATTGAAAACCCGATCCCTGACTGCTTCATGCCAGGGTTTCAATGAACACTGAAGGAAAACCCAGCAATAAAGTGGTGAAAAATCATTCGCTGAGACCATCCTGTCGGCGAACATTCGATTGGAAAGTAATAATCGTAATCAGCAAAACTATAGATGATTTGGGAAAGGAAACGACAAACGATTGAGCCTGCTCCCGCCTCTCATATTTGGCACTTTCTTCGAGTCCTCTACGACCGACCACAAATTGCAATTCAGGCTCGTGATTATTCTCTTAGAAGTAGATATATTATTCGCTACTTGTTTAGTTGACTTACTTCTAGCGTAGATTAGAGAATCACACGCGCGAAGGAGTTGGGATGACAAGCCTATGTATGGAATTCACATCAGTGAATACAATTTAGAGTTATTGGATTACAACATTTTATTTCAATAACAAAGATTAGCATCCTCCTTGTGTTCAATTTATTTTCTTCTTGTACAATTTCATTAGAGCTTTATAATTTTCCGGCTCTAATTGCTTCACTGCTTGCTACCTTTTTTTCTATGTTCAATAAAAAATCAACCTAGGTAAGAGAAGATATTGACTTGATTCAATAATTCAAAAGGCAGAATTGCAGTTGAATTTCAAATCTTTAAAATTGTTGTAGACTATATTCAAATATTTCATTTTTGCACCTGCCGTCCAATAATTGCAACTAAAGGACAAATGGACGAATTTTGTCTACTGACCATTAGTCAATCAAAAAAAATCAATTTGACCACAATTTAACCAAATTTTAAGTGGCAAAATTGTCATTTTATATTTTCTCAATAAAAAAATTTTTAAAAATTAAACAATAAAATAATAAAGAGTAAAAATGGATATTAACCATTCATCTCCCTCCCCAAACCATCCCCCAACCCCTACCCCAGAACCACCGCCCACAGCCAGACATTTGCATTTGCAATCTATAACAAATAAGCAAAAAACTAGAAGGCAAATCCACTCTTTCGAATACACGACTACTCATCATGCGAAGGTCCTCACACAACAAATTTATCACGGGCTTCTCTTGGTGCTTGTTCTTAATTTTCCCCTTTAATTTTTTGAGTCATTGGTTTTCGATGATTTTTCATTCCTTTTTGTTCGTAGGTTTCGCAAAAGAACAAGAAAACAATTAAGCGTAGCAGAAGTACGAAAATGATAATAACAAGAAGAAAGACAATGGAGGGAATGATAAATATTACTGCTATTTTGAAAGCTGATTTGCATTGTGATGGTTGCACTTCCAAATTCGTAAAATCCATTAGCTCTTTTAACGGTAACGGATATAACATTTTTCTTCTCAAACCTCAATTTTGTTATACATTGAATCTACATGAAACAGAATTATAGATCACTAATGTTTGGTGTATAGGGGTTCTGTTTGACAGGACCCCTACCGATAGTCACAAAAAATGGGTCCCACACGGGACCCATTTGTATTAAAAAAAAACCCACACCCACCCATCCCGTGTATGTGAGTGATCGATACAGGGTCGGTAAACCCGTTTCTGTACGTGTATCATCACTCATTATAGATGCAGATGTCGGTGGCCGTACGCAACGGCGATGGGTGGGTTTTGATTTGATCGAGGTGAGTGGGATAGCATAGGGCATGGGCGGTTTGATGGAGGAGATGAATAGTCAAAATTCCTTTTTGCTTTTTCCTTTTTGTAAATGATTTTATTGAGAAGATGCAAATTACAATTTTGCCCCTTGAAATTTTGATCAAAATATAGTCAAATTGATTTATATTTTTTTTGGTTGACTAATGGTCAATGGACCTAATCCATTGCAATCGAGCTGAAAGATTTGAAACTATGTATGCACAAATGAAAGTTTTGAGTATAGTATCTAATAATTTATGTTTTGTACAATCTCTCTTGGATGGATATTTTTGCATTTAACTAGGGTAGTGGTTTACATCTGTAGTTTAATTCTATGGCGTACATTAATTTACAAGATTTGAAATCTCGAGTTGCATTAAATTTTTTTCCAGCACCAAGACGACACTTCAACTGATATATCTTTAGAATCTTGATTAGTAGTGTCCTATAGAACACTCCCTTCGAGTCGGCTTGCAAGTTAAGACTCAAGGCTCAGGCTCGGCTCGAGTTTTTTTAAGTCGGGCTTTTTTTACTCGAAGCAAAAAAAATAATCGAGGCTCAATCGCAGCTTTCGCCTGAGCTGAGCTGGCTCGATTTTTTTCTTTTCATGACCTGTCGCTACCTTTGAAAGGCAGTAGGCCGATGGGTGTAAAGGCAGCGTGCCAACTACCTACTGCCTTTAAAAGACAATTTCTACATTTTTTTTTAATTTTTTTTTCGAGCCGGCTCGGCCCTGCACCCCGAGATGGGGCTTGACCCAATTCACCGAGTCATAGGCGACTCGAGCCAATGAACCAATTTGCCATCCCTATATATTTTTTTTTAATTTTTTTTCGAGCCGGCTCGGCCCTACACCCCGAGATGGGGCTTGACCCAATTCACCGAGTCATAGGCGACTCGAGCCAACGAACCAATTTGCCATCCCTATATATATATATATATATAACACATTTTTTATTTATTGAGATACAATTGGATCAAAATCTATTACTAAGTAATCAATAGGGAGTCGCCATATGTCATTCCCCCAAAATACACATTACTCCAAAACTTGAAGAGAAATATATATATATATATTTCTTAATTTTAAGAGTGAAAGATGCAATTCAAATATCTCAATCCCAAATAGTCATTTCATTTTTAGCTTCTGTTTGAGCATTAAAACTAGTGAAATTTGGAAATGAAATCCTAAGTGATAGAATTTGTTAATCTAATTTTTATCGTTAACAAAAGATATTGGCTTGGTTCAAGAATTAAAAACTTGCTAATTATGTGCCGTACAATTCTCTCGATTAGATTTTTTCCCCCTAATTGAACTTGGAATAGATTGAATTAGAAGGGTTCACATCTGTAGCTAATTCTACAGTGTACTTTAATTTGTCCATTTTCATAAGCTAAGATTTGATTTCTCATGTTTCATTAAATTCTTGATAGAAAATACACCATTGTTTCAGCATCAAGATAATGACACTTCTACCAATATCAGAATCTTGATTAATAGTGTCTTATGATTTTTATTCATTCCTTGTGGCATAACCACCACCATACCATAAGTGCAATTTAACACAATTCACCATCAGATCAAGCAAATGTTGGGGAAATCATAAAATTATGAATGTATAACATTTATATATATATATATATGCAGTCAGTCTTAAATTTTTCACGCAAACGAGTTTCAATTGAAACATTTTAAAACACATTAAAAAAAACGAATTTTATCAAATTAAAAACAAAAATAATAAATAAATAAATAATGCCGATAGTGTTTTTGTAGAGCTTTTCAAGCATCTGAAAGTTGAAAAATAGTTGTTGGATTATGACTTCTAGTGATGATTCATGACGTCATTCATAGTCCAATAAGATGTATACATTTGTCAAATTGTGTGGTGGTAGCGACAACAACCGAGGCCCAATGTTGGGAGTTAGATGAAAGATCAATTTTTTATTTTTACTAATATGTTTTAAATAAGTCTAATTTGCACATTTTAAAATTTTGGAATTGCAAATGTGATTATTATTATTATTATTATTATTATTATTATTATTATTATTATTATTATTATTATTATTTTGTTTATTAAAAAATGAAAGTAGAATTCGTCATTTTACATTATTTTAACAGATGAAATAGACTACATGAAATATTTCCACAACATTTGCTTAATCTAAAGCGAAATATGTAAAATTGAAAGGATAGAGACAATTTAGGCAAAACAAACAATTCCTCAAAGTTTTTCTAGCCACACAAAATACTTCCAAATACAATTTAAAAGATGGAAACAATTTGCACAAAATAGAAAATAGAGAATAATCGAAACATGTTCAAAAGCAACTCCTTAGCCACCTAGCCAAACGAGCCGTTAAGATAGGCAATTAAGACTACTATTACCTCTGCATCTGAAGCTGGTGACTACTCCGTAGTAGATATCCTCAACATTATTGCATAATGCAACGGAAGTGCATTTTCTCCCTTGCACCCTACCACATAACTTCAATAGACTATCATAGAATTCTTGTAAAATAAATAACGTAGTTCTTGTTTCTTTTCTCTATACTTTTCCATTGATCCATTTAAGTAGGCAAATGACTTCTTTAGATCTGATAAGAAAAGGTGAAAAACCGAAGACAAAAAAATTAAAGAGATCTCGTCAATCCAACCATTCCAGACTCAAAAGAGTTCTAAAGCTTTCATCAAAAACTATGGAAGACTACTTGGAGATCACCTCTTATTGGAGTAGTATAATATTCATGCCAACTTTACTAATACGCAGCATAGAAATAACATCTTGTATAAATATGTAGGAGATCCGAACAAATCCACGTGCACGATATTTGCAGCGAGAATAATGAAATAATGATGTTCAAAGATGTAGCAAAGAAAATAGAATACCTGTATGGCTTGACTGTCTTTTTTTGTAAAAGTATCTAGTGATGGTACTTCTGTCCTTTGAGAATCGTCCATGCCCTATAAAATACTCCTAAACAATTCATTATTTAACATAATTCAAGTGGAGTAACCTTGAGAAGGAGAAAGTTTCGAACATTAATAATAAATCTTATCAGAATTTCTATGGTTATCCTCGAAACACAATAAAGAAGTTCCCTCCTTAAATTTCTAGAAGCAACTGTTAGAAAATGAAAATCAAACATCTGTGATCAGTCCCTTATGTTTTAAATCCTGTACTGTCTACTGCTCAATTTCATCAGTGTGGCATGTTTGCTTACAAACAAACTTCCATTGCAGGACATATTTGCACTCCCATTCCAAGGGTGAGCACTATAGGCTAGCCCTCCCTTCTCCAAACACCATTCCGATCACACTGAGACTCCAAAGTATGACCCTTCGCAATCTAATGAATACAATGCATTCTGAAGTTTTTTATTTTTGTTCTCATTCTTATAAAATATTGATAGATGGATCGAATTAAAAAAATATAAAATTCATTGTTTTTGCATAAATCCAGAGGTTACTGCCTTAACTATCTTCGATTATTGAAATCACCTTACTACCATGGACTCTAATAAGTAAAAAAATGATGTCATCTTCAACTATCTTTTTCCACATATTGTGAAACAATAAAAGAAAAGTGTCTTTCAATAATTCAGTGTATATGCTTATTCTCAGATCTTCAATTGAAACTTTAGGAGAAACAGAAGTACTTTCTAAGGTTTGTTTCAGCCCCATTTTTTGGAAAAATAGATTTTGTAATAGTGTTTTTTTTTTTGAAAAAATATGGTTAAAAAGTACGAAAAAAGGTTTTTGAGTTTACATGTAAAATTATTTTATTGGGAGAATGTGCGGTTGAAAATGAGTTGGGAAAAAAGTGAGTTTTTCAAGAATGGGGCTCAAACAAAGTCTATATATACTGCAAACAGCAGGAGCGCGCCTGCCTAACTCCGTAATTATGTTGGTGCAAGTTCCTTCCTGATGGGTTTTAAGAAAAGAAAGAATAGGAAAGCTGGTTTCAGGTGTTATAATATATTTCTCTCACACTTGTTTGAGAAAATATTTTCCGTTTAAATGACAAAAGAAGTTCAAGAAATCGATATTTTTAATGTCTCGTTCAATCTAAATTGTACAGTTTCCTGACTCGCTTAGCTTGCTTGCCTGATCAATCCATGGAATGGACTGACTTCCCAGCAAGAATAGGAGGTTCCTCCAGAAATTCTCATCCTCCCCCATCCCAATGCAAAAACAAAAAATAAAAATAAAAATAAAATAATTTGAAGCAGAAGCATATTTAATTCATGAATCTCAAATTCGGTATATTTCTTACCTGTAAAGTTGCTCACAGAATACAACTAAGGCAATTTCATGATTGAAGACCAAAGATGACAATTTGATTGATACATTGGCCCTCTCTCTCAACTGCCTTCCATGACCATAAGGCCCACCTATGCAAAATAGTAAGCTTGAAGCTCCCTATTGAAAAGGGAAACCTGTCATCCATCAGAAAGTCTAGGGGCATGACATCAGAGCTAGAGCTAATTCTCTTCATCACTTGTGCATACTTACTCATCCAAAATGGACGTGGTAATCATAATAAGGCAATGCATGTGCTTATAAATGTTCGTTCTCTGTTTCTCCTACTAATATAGTAGATCCAGTACAGAAAGAATTTTAAATAGAAAGTCTTTCATACTTTGTTACTAGCATCCCCAATTAAAGAAGCCATTTGCTCGGATCCCACATCGAGTCCATGCTCATCTAACATTACAACCTGCATTTGTACAATCAGAAACAAAGAACACGACATATGAAAATGAAAAATGCTACACATTCCATAAGAACTAGAATTTCATAGTGGTAAATCAAGTATTAAAACCAGATACGAGTCTAATTGCTTAATCCAAAATGGTAATAGAAAACGTATAATACCTGTTATAAATGATGACCATTTAACATTGGATGAAATTCTTTTAAGAAAATGACCAAAAAAGTCCATCAAAAACCAGTAACAGTTATGAGGCTCAATGTTACAAATAACTGATCAAATCATGTAAAATTAGTCCATAGAACGATCAAATCAAGCAAGTCAATGTCTTCTGACTTTTGTTTAAAAAAGAAATTTAATGAAGGACATAAATTCAGTGGTGATCTAGACCGGAAAAGTTGGGGAATACCCATTCATTGGATCTAATCAGATCCATCACAGCCATATCTTCATGTTCAATCTGAGCTATAACATCCCTGGTACAGTACATAACTTATCATTAATGAATCTTGATGAACGAAAATACAATAGACCAAAGTCCTTTTAACAAGGATAACTAAATGAAATTCAAAAGTAATGATAAAATATGCTAACCAATCCCTTATCATCATTGTTTTTAGAAAGCTATTGAGGCTTAGGCACACCTCATGAGAGGCCTTTCTTAAGGGCCACAAAGCTAATTCCTCAAGGTGAACCTTACAAGAGGCTCAGTGTTTTTTGTCAAGCATAGGCGATCACTTCAAGGCATACTCATAAGGATCACTAAGTCTGTGCTCCTTAATCTTACTATTTCTAGGCTATTATTACCTGCATCACCTTTTAGATGATTTTTCCATGACCTGGAACGCTCAAAAGGTCTTTCGGCTAGTTTCAGGATAGCCCGATCCTGAAAACTATACGTGAACAGAATAGGTGTAGGTCACTTGTGTCCTGCCCTCCTAAGACTGAAATGTGTTTCATCCTCCAAGTCGAGTTGCATGGTTCAAATGTTCACATTCTTAGTTTCAAGTATTGCTTTTATATTTTCCCTACAATTAACATCTTTCTTGTCTTTTTTCTCTTTTATTTTTCTTTCTTTACAATCAACCCAAACAAAATTGTTAGTTATCCAGTAATTTGTTCTACAATTTTAGTTCTAATTGTAGATAATTAGTTTTGCCATGTAATTACTAGCTTGTTCATTTACTATTTACGAATTTCGCCGATTTTATGTTCCAAAGTGGCAAATTAGTCTGCTAATTTGTTGAGAATTTTCTGGATCGTTTTGTTGGTTTATAATTCATTCACCCATCCCAATAGTATGCAAAAACAAATGTAATTAATCGTAATTAATACCGAAAATTCAGAACGCAACCCACCGAGCATTTTTAGGATTGGACTTTACTCGAACATCTTCTACGCGGCAATAGTACTTCAGCTTGTCTATATAATCATCGACAATGAGTTGAACCCCCGGTGATCTCTTCTTCCCTACAGTTAGTATTCGAATTGGCAATGCTTTCTGCACACTCATAGTTTAAGAAAACCCCTTCAACCAAAAATTCAACAAATTGTTATTATAAAATGTAAAGGGTTTTATTTACCACCGAATGGCCGGCATATTTGCATCCTTTACCTGCAGATAATGATACAAATTGCAAATGGATTAGGGCATAAAAAGCAGATATTGAAGTGCAGAATTGGAAAAGTGAAAGGGAAGAAGAACCTGTAGAGTTTGGGTAGTGGGTTTTGGAAGTGGCGATGAGAGAAATTGCCATGGATGCAATTGAAGAGGTGAAGTGGAAATGTAGCACTACAAGTGTAAATAAGAACGTATGATAGATCTAGCCGCTAAAAATAAGATTTTAAATTTTGATAAAAATTAATAAAATATATGGTTGAAAAGTTGATAAAAATTATATAATCTCGTAATATGTGTGATTAAAATTAATTGTTAACTTTAACTTAAAATTTTATCAACTTTTAAAGTCACACCAAATAGAATCTATCGTTAATATCTTTACCCATAAAATAAAATAAATAATACATCCAAAGAAGCGTCGCGAAATGCTGCTTTCATAATATTTTGCTATTTGTATGGTTAATTCAGCCCTTATCTAATTTTGATAAAAATTAAATTTTTAGTGAATTTTGATAAATATTGATAGAATATTTAGTTGAAAAATAATGGATTCAATGAAAATTAATTTTTAACTTCGACTTCAATTTTAATCAAATTTCTAACTCCATGAAACATGGCTCAATTCTTTTCTCTTTTCTTCATTCATCTCCTTCGACTGTAGATAAAAAGTGATTTGACATTTTGCACGATTATATAAAAACTTTCCAAACATACTTCTAAAGAGCCTTAAAATATCCATAGAAATGTTTAGTATGAATGATTGACAAATGAATAAAGTTCCATGTACAAGGAGTTATTGACAAGCCCATCACCCACTAATAACTACATCAAATTACTTGTCCCCCTATATTGACCCTATCACCCATTTCTGTACGTGTAGCAACTTTTTAATAATATTTTTAATTTTAACGAAGAAAGTTAAGATCTTATTTATTATACTATTTGATCTTACGTGTGCTATGTACTAAAACATGTACTTAACAATTTAGTTCTCATGTTGCTTCGAAAACGTTCGAGTCAAACCAGTTCCACAATCATTTTCTTCATCCCTGTCAATTTATGAAACCTCATATATGAAGCGACCATGGCTACTGGCTTCGTTTAAGAACAATCTTAATAAATTGATACAGAAGCCATCTAAATATTGAGTTTCTGAAGTTGTTGGTAGAGGGAACATGACCCTAGTCTAAGATAAGTTGAATTCATTAGCCGATTTCTATTATTACTAATCGTTGACACGTGCACTGCACAAATTTTGTATTTATTGTGATTTAATTAGTGTAGAAATTATCAATGTTAAAAAAATAATAATAATAAACAGTTGTTGTAGATTTATTGCATTGTTCAAAAATCTTGAGAGCATATTATTGCCTCGCTAATACTCTATCCAACAAGGTGATCATTTCAAAAGCTGATATTGCTACACAAAGAAAATCACAAAAAAAAATAAAATTAAAGACATAGTGTGTATGTAGAACATGACACTACATGAGAAAAGAAACATTTGACATACATAAAGATTGCAAGTTTATAGGAGTAAGGAATATTTGATCCATTAAATAATAAAGCATGCATCGAAAAATGAAAATGGATTGCAAATAAGTTGTAAAAGGATACAATGCAGTATTTACATAAAAAAAAAAAATACACACACACACACACCCCAACGAGCAAGTATGCTGAGATGGAATGGATAATTCTTACACTGTCATTTCTACTTCTTCTCTTGGTTGTTTATATACATCGGGACCTGAATATACAATAAATATTGGAACAATGGCATTAAGTCAAATCAATTATTAGAACAAAGGTTAAGAGAGGAAATATAAGTAAAGCACCTACCTAACCCACCAAAAAATGTAAAACATATCCAGATACGTCTTTCTAGTTGGCAAAAAACACATCCAAAAATAAAGCATTTTCCTGTATTTTGTACCATAATCCACCCAAAAAAAAAAAAAAAAAAGAAACCATCAACTCCCAATTCTTAGGAATTGTACAAATGCCACTGAAGAAAGAAACAAATTAAATGTTAACAAATGGACAAATCCAATTCTCTGAAAGTGAATGAACCAAACAACTAAATGCTTGATTATTTAGTGGTTCCAGTACAATCTATGTGAGGTTCATCTAAAAGTTCCAACCGTATATAAAGAGAACTTGCAAACATCTGTATTGAGAAAACAAAACTTTGCAAATGAATTTCGAATCACTCTTCCATTATGGCTGCACTACAAACTCTTCATCGTTGTCAGGTCTCCCACTCCTTGGCAAAATGAAGATTCAAGATTGAATTTTTAACAACAAATGAAATTCTAAGTAAAGGTAAGATTTCTTCCTTTACCTATCTAATATTTATAGGAACTGCAGTGCATTTATGCTTTCCCTCTCATCTAGCAACTGAAGAAAGCATAAACAAATGAAAGTAATTTCGACACAAGTTAAGCTCCAAGAATTACAGTTTCACAAAAAAGAATTAAAGAATGGAAAGATGGCATTAAAGCATCATCTTTTCTGCATGTTTGAATTATATTTGATTCCGGAACATTAGCATTGCCATGAACTTCCTTGTACAATTAAAAGAAAAAATTTTATTAGGTCAAATATGTTGAAGTAGAAAGATTGACACATTATGGAAAAGTGGGAAGGTGACTAAAAACAAATGCTAAACTACTTTGTTGAAATATTGAGAAAATAAATAATCCTTTAGCGGCTCACACGTTATAACATCTATGAAATGGAATGCAACTAAGTTGTATTTTAATATATGTGGATTTGGTTCATTCAATTCACCACTAAGTCTATCGAGAGAATTATTAGATAGAAAAGAAATTCACTGCAACTCCTCAAACCATGTAAACAAAATATCGTCACACTGCTATATTGTGTTCAAAATATCAAAAAGATATATATCTCAAACTTCTCACCGATCATTTTCAGTAAAAGATGTGTCAAATCTAAAGTAATTGGAATAACGCTTGTGGCAAAGCCCTTCCCATCCTTCACAATATATGCTTTGAATTTTGCTAACATGTAAGATGAATTAGGTGCAAAATAGTTGGTGAAAGTGATTTCTCGGAGCAAAAAAATATGACAAAGAAGTAGATGAAATGAAATGATTATGGAACTACCATTGGGCCATTGATGTAATTGATGGTAGTACGCTAATGCGGTAATTTCAGATCTTTAACACGATAAATACCATATTTTTTCTTTTCCGAATTCTCCAATTGGAATAGTCTAGTTCACCAAAACAATAACAAAATTTCACATGGATACAAAAGTCTCCCAAATGATTCTTCGATAAGATTAAAAAAGGGAACCTTCTATCATTAGCTTTACTCTATACATTGAAGTGATCCTAAAGTTTGATAAAAACACAAAATATGACTAACATATATACTGATTTCCCATCATCATGATTTCGAGACCGAAATAGAGCATGTTTGGGGTGGCTTATAAGTAAGATTGTAAATATGAGAGAGAATCGGGCAAACCTTTTTTTCTCATACATATATTTGCACAAGGTTATCAAAGCTACAAAAGAGAACAGAGCAACAAAAAAAGAGGATATATTACAATCTAGAAAAATCTTGACCATGATGATGAACTTCCATCAAACAGCATATTGGAAGAAGATGATAAAATCCAGAATGTTATGTTAAAATCAAGTACGATCAAAGCTATTAGAAAATATACACAGCAAACTTGCGGTTCTACCCATTTATTCCCATATAATTGATGATAAGAAACTAGGACTAATAATTCCTCTTCAGTCCATGTGTCTTTTCTAACTACTGGATATAGATGATTGTGCCACTTTAAGATCATGTGCAGCAATAGAACTTTAGAACATAGGCCATGTCTTAACAATAGGTAAAAATATCAAAGGTTTAACTAAATTATGTAGACGGGTATATCTCTTGCTTTATTTATGACAAAAAGTGTGCCACTGTCCTTAGAAGAATAATAGAATCCAATCTTACGCTTTTCACATGCAAGTAATGACCCTTCAACCTATTTAAATGATGGAGTGTGTTGAAGACTATTTAAATGATGTACACGTGGTATTATCTAACAATATAGACTTTTAGATTTAGTGTTTAAAAGGTAACTAAAGAAAACAAGAGGAAATAAAACAACATAGCTTAATTGTGATATATTATTTAAACAAATGAATTTCAGAAGTATGGTTATTGTAGTTCTTTCTAATAAAAGAGTCTCAAACTATCATTATGAATACGGTCAAACCTATCAGTCATGTAAAGTAACATTGAAAAAAAAAATTATCGTAACATGATAACCTCATTTCAATATCTATTTAAAGAAATAAAGAACCTTTGATTTGCAAAAACCTTTATATAGATCGAAGAACCATGTCTACCAATCAATTTAAGAACCATATGACATTTTATTATCTAAATCATTATCCACACAAGAGATAAATTAAGTGATGAAACGAGGGCATTTAGTATACATTTGTTTAACAGGAAAACAAACAATTTAATCATTTTTTCTGCATTGTAATTGGTCTAATACGAGGATCGTGACAAGATCCGCTAAATTATGAATTGATTTTTGTTTACAACTCTAATCTAAGTGTATGCCAAACACGTCCTTTAAGTTGGCAACTAGACACAATTAACAAATTGCAGCAAGAGAAAAAAATTCAAAGTAAAACTTACACTTCTACCATGCCCCAGTGCATTATAAAGGAATCAATAACATCTTTAAAACCATTTTAATTATAGTACTCGCTCAAAATGTTCTTTTGAGTGCTAGCTATTTTGAAAACTTTTATGTTTTGACGTAGCTATAACAAACCATTTATATCCACACATTTTACAGAACCACAAATACTACCTACTTATCTATTATTGGTTCCTATCTATTATAATTTATTAAACGGTTTACAAGCACTTCTCAAACAGGTCAACTTTATTTTTTACATTGTGGATTTGAATGATTTTGTGAAGTTCAGGGAGTTAACAGCACAATTCATTTATTTTAATTGCAGATAAATTATTCCAATTCGTCAAAATCTACTACAAATAGCAAAGATGTATCCATACAAAAACAATTTTTAGAATTCCTTAAGGGGAGATAATTGCAGATGAAACATTCTAATCAATCATATTATGAGAACCAATTACTAATCACAAAAATGTCACCACAAAATCCAATAGCAAGAATTCTTGATGCAAATAGAAATTATTGTGTAATTAATCAGAATCAAATATGAATAGGAAAAATGTATCCACGCAAAACCCAATAGCTATCGTACATAAAAGGAAAGAGAAAATTGAAGACAAAATACTCAATTTAATCGGAGTCTAATACGAAAAAAAGCATCCACAACAAACCCAATTGCTAGAATTCATAAGGGGAAACATAAAATTCCTAATAAAATACTAAAGTTAATCAAAATCAACTAGTAATCACAAAGATGTATTGTCGAGCAAAATGGGAAACATGGACTCAATTGCACAAAGGGCTTTAAAATAACTTTGTAGGAGGTCACGGCTTGCGGCGACGAATAGGAGGGGATAAAACCTTTTTATAGTAGCAAATTAACATTTACTTACCAAAATTTTATTTTTAATCATTATCTCGGTCGTTCTCTTTCTTGACGAAGAAAACTTCAAACCTCTACAAAAGAAAATAAAAACAAAAGATTAAAATGTTTGGGACGAAACCTCTGGCTAAATTAAGCAGTATATACAAAAAATAGAAAATAAAGAGTCAAGTAATTGTGTGGAAGAAGTGCAAAGAAGAACGATAGTTTGTATGTGAAAATGGACAGAGTAAAAAGAAATGGGAAAGAGAAAAAAGTCTGTGAGAGAGAAGAAAGAAATGATAGTTGTGTGTGAGAACATTGCATCTACAGTAAAATGGGATTTGTTTACTATTGCATTTACAGTAACCCTTCATTGCCCTTTTGATTTAAGGTTAGATTAAAAAGAATTCTAAATTGAAAAAAAAAATTATCTATAATGTTGTATAAAAATTAAAAAAAAAAATTCTCCGTACACGAAGGCGTGCATGGAGACATTTGTCTCCATGCATGGAGGTTTCTAAATTTTTTTTAATTTTATTTTATATATATTATTTATGTTTTGTTTTGTTTTTTACACTACAAATTATTATTTTTTTTTTTGCAATTTAAAATTCCTTTCTCTTCAAATTTTTACTTGTAACTTTTTACATTTTAGAATTTTTTTTTTTTTTTGTGTGTGTGTTGTTTACATTATAAATATATATATATTTTTTTGTGTGCGTGTTGTTTACATTATAAATATATATATTTTTTTCAATTTAAAATTCCTTTCTCTTCAAAATTTTACTTGTAACCTTTTACATTTTAGAAATATTTCCTATCGTATTATTAGTATTTTTATTTTTTAATAATTCCAACCGATGAGAGTTATGGAAAGTTGAGTGTTGGAATAAATTTAGATTGCCTCTTTTATTGTATAATAAAAATATGTATATATATAAAGCAAAGACAAACGACGTCGTTTTTGCTCCTCCACTTTAAAAAAAAATGCTCCAATGAGACAAAATGAATTAAATCACTGTTGCTTTCTACAGTAACTTCATATTCTCATTTTTATATAGTAAGGACATAGGACTTCTTTGGTAGACAAAAATGCCTTTTTGTTCTCTTTTAAGCTTGATTTAAACATGTAATGTTACTGAATTGTGTCAATGTCTAGTCCTTTCAACTTCACCACAATTTTCACATACCCCTTCAGTGTATTCAGTTCACTAAGCCTACTTCACAAATGAGGTTTTCGATAATTTTCTCATTATGAACAACTGATTGAATCCTATCACGAGAACTACTTCGACTTAGGCACAAGTGTTTTATGGAATCGATAAGTCATAAGTAGATTACTGACCTGGCAACTTTAGCACGTCGTTTGGCCTGCTTTGCATCTTTGAGAGCTCCTGATAATCGTTCTTCTCATTGAAAAGGTTATTCGCTTCTTGTGGTTGAAGACCATGTAAAGTCCTCTTTGCTGTAGCCCATTGTGCCTCTCTCTCCCCCATAGTTAGACTTTGTTGTAAAGGCAGTTTGTCATCAACAATTGAGTAAGAAAGTAAGGATCGAGCAATGGAATTGCTTAAACAATTTAATAAATAATGTAAGATGACGTACTTTATTCTCCAAAAGATTATCACAAGCCTTTCCGCTCAAAAACATAACAAATGTAGAACTTGAGGATGTCAACATAAGTTACGATGTTGTAAAGCCAGATAAGACCTGCCCAGCCTCAACCGCATCCTCTAATCTTTGCAAAATCCCAATTCACATAAACGGTTATAAGGGTGGCAACCTATAATAAAATGCTTAGTATTCGTAACTTCACTTGAGTACAGAGTTAGTCGAAGTGTGCAATTCTGTAAGATCAGTGAAAAGGAAAAGTTCCTTACCAGTTGAGCTATTGTAAAAGCATTGTGTATGAAAATTTCGGGGTGTTCAACAAAAGACAAGCTACGAGACCTTGTAACGAATATGAGTCCTTGACTAATGATACTTACATGTAGGTACAAAGCTGACATTATTTCCCGACGACGATCTCTAACAGACCTCACACCAAAATGATCCTGCAGTGAACCAAATAAATGATCAAGCAATGAATAAACAAGTCACGAAATTTACTCAAGACGTGTAAGTTTACTGATACCAAGAAGAAGTTAGTGTCTTTCATGACCCAGAAAAACAAAACAGTTGCTAGTGCTAAGTAACCTCCCAAGACGATTCCAGTAGTGAAAATCTCTCTGAGCTTCCAACTTTCGGGTAAAGGAGATGGCTTCACTCGATCCTTTGAGATTGTCATTATAGTTCCTAGAGGAATATGTAATGTATGAATTATGTAGGCAACTCGTCTGGAAATGGAGAGAAAATGAGAAAAATGAATGAAAAGAAGAACAAAGAAGTACGAGTGGTGATGTTCATCAATTGAGCTGAGCTTAACGTCATTCAGGATAGCAATGATTAGAACCATCAAAGGAGCGAAATCAAATTCCCATATCAAAGCAATAAGCATAAATCCAAACTGGATATAAGGATAAGTAACGAATTGTTCAACTTCGTAGTTAAAACAGGGCAATAGACATGTTCTTAATGCCTACCACAATACGAATTGTAATCCAAACAGCATATATCTAGGAAATGAAATAACCAAACGACAAAAAAAAATCAGATACTTTAGAGATAAAGAGGCTGAACTTCGATTTACAAAAGAAAAGCTGACTTGTGGTGTAATTCTTCATCCTCTAGAAAATAGCCCTGCTAGTCAATACTGCACTTATAATGACACTCAGTCCAGGTTCAGTTAGGACAATCTCGTATGCACCTCTAGCAGCATCCGTCGCATAAGCAACTATGATCCCTATATCCGCCATCTTGAGAGCTGGAGCATCATTAACGCCAACTCCCATCATACCACATATGTGCTTCATTTCTTGTAACCTTTTTACTATTTCATACTTGTGCTCTACAAATACACAAAAATGGGATTAGGCTGGATAACACGAGAAGTAGAGCATGATATCACAACTTTATAAGAACGCATTTTCACTCCTATCGATCCTAGGCTCCTAGCAGAGAACATAGTAAACCAAACTGACCTGGGAATACCCCCAACAAACCCATCAACCTTCTCAATCAGCTCATCTACGGGGAGTGCTGCAATAGATTCATCCTTGTCTTGGCCAAGCAACGATGGGCTAGTTGATCACCTAAACAATGATGAAAAAGAATTTAAAAAAGAAAATGAAAGAATAACAATTGAACATGAATGGGGTCGAGAGGAATAAAACATAAGATCTGGTACCAGTGATCATCTTCACGTTCACGCCCAGATTCAAAGCTCTTTTGATTGTTTCTGCACTGTCATGCCTTGGTGGATCAAACAACGGTAATGAACCAACAAGTCGCCATGGGCCCTCTGGACTCTCTTTAATTTTCTCGGGAACTTCCTACAGAAAGAATGAGATACAAAAGTAGAATGAAACAACTAAAGGAATTAGCTCAAGGAAATGCATTGAAGATAATATGTGCAAACCTAAGAGGCAACTGCTAAGGAGTGAAGTCTGAGTTCATCAAACTTATCGATTACAGCATGAACCTTCTTTTTAACATCTTCCTTGGCATTGCAATATGCTAAGATCTTTTCATGAAGAAGTTAACATCTATTAGCTAACCAGTTTCATGACTTCTTTTCACTAAAAAATGAAGATGAAAACAAAAAACACATTTCATGCTATATTTATAGATTATGAAAAACCAGAAATATCTGCTCGGGGGCGCCTTTGCTAGCACGATGCCAATTTCCATTAGAATCTATGTATGTTAATGCAGTCCTCTTATCTACGGGTTGAAAGGTAAGAAATGAACCTCCCGTATACCTGCCCTAGCCTGCGATAAAGGAATTACAAAATTTTTGTCCTTACAACCAACTTTTTTTGAAATATTAATATGAATTACATATAAAGACAATCAAATAAGCCAAGAAAAATCATATCGAATAAATATATCATATACTTCTTTTGGGTCGACTAGCATCCCTACAATGGCAGCATCTATTACATCTTGATTTTCGACTCTTTAAGCTCAGGCTGCTAGCAACATCACATGCTCTTTATCCACTCCCTTTAAAAACACTTCGATGAGACTTTTGTCGACTGTCAGCTTATTCAAGGTCAACATACCCGTTTTGTCACTGCAAAAAACATCCATGCCTGCCATTTCCTCTATGGCAGTCATTCGCTTTGTGATTGTACCTTGCTGAAAGAGCCTGTATGAACCGATAGCCATAGTAACAGACAGAACTGTTGGCATAGCAATTGGAATTCTTCCAATTAAGATAACCAGCAAATTGTCGATTCTATCCCTGTACTTACGGTGCTGAATTGGGTACATGACCATGACCTCGATGATTATCCTGACAAAAATCGAGCAGATACAGAAGTTACTGATTGCAGTAAAAACCTTCTGAAAATGTCCAATTTGATTGGAGATATTAACTAGATAGACAGCCTTACCGAAAAAAGTATGAACGCCAGTAGCTATAACAACTGCTTCAATTTCTTCCTGTTTACAAGTTGAACCAGAGAAAACTTCGTCTGAGGGGTTCTTAGTGACAGGCAGAGATTCTCCTATTAAAGCAAATTGATCAACTTTTAAGGGATCGCCCTCAAGAAGACGAGCATCGACTAGAATTTTATCTCCCAACTTGATGCTTATGATATCTCCCGATACAAGGATAGCCGCATCCTTCTCAGTGAGTTTAATTATGATATTGGTAGTGCTTTTTGAGAGGTCGACAGTCAATTTTTTTTTAGAGCAATTGTAGTAGATTTAGCCCTTGTTTGAGTTCTATTTTTATCAAAACCCTTTTGTGTTTTATTTTTTTTATTTTTTTTTTTTTTTTTTTTTTTTTTTTTTTTGAAAAAAAAACTCATTTTCAACTTCATATTTTTCATAAAATAATTTTACACGTAAATCTAAAAAAAAAAAATTTCCTGTTTTTAAACCACACATCTCCAAAAATCACCATTACATAATTCATTTTTCTCAAAGAATTGGGCTCAAACAAGAGCTTAGGATAATTACCTAAAACGACAAGATTTAAATATGCCCTTGTTTGAGCACCATTTTTTTCATAAAAATACATTTTTTAATAATGTTTGACATCATTTTAATAACACGTTTTTCAATAAAATAATATTACAAGTAAATACAAAAATTTTTCTTATTTTTTTAACCACACATTCTCCATCATAATACTATTTGAAAATGCATTTTTTTAAGAAAAATGGGACTCAAACAACCCCTATATAGATAAATATTATTTCTGTCCTTTTTTCTTTCATTTGGACTAGTCCTGTTTGTTTTGATTCCAAGGTTTTTCGATTCTTATTTATAGAAAGAGAAAATGGGAGAATTATTGCAATGTATAGTCTCGTAATCATCAAGGCGAATAATGTTTGCTTAATACTATTTTCATTTGAAAACACCTATTGCAGAACAAAGCCAATTATATCACTATTATAAGTGTTCGAAACACTTAACCGCCTAGCATATTACATTGTTTCACTTTGGTCATTGATTTTTTTTTTTTTTTTTAATTACTCACCATACCTATTCAAATTTTGATCATCTATATTTAAACAAAAAGAAAAAAGGGTCAGAGAAAGGGGAAAAATTAGAGTGCAAGAGAGATGGATTGAATGGAGTGCTGTGAGTTTGAGACTTTTGGTGAGTCTATACAAATCTAGTGGAAGGAAGGAAGACAGAATCATTTATTTTTGTAGGTTGGGATGGACGTGTGTTTATGTGTGTTTTGTACTCGAATAACTTTGTGGGGTCAATTTTTTGTACTTTATGCCCTTCGAGGTTTTGACTCTAGAAGTAGTGCATTATCTATGGCCTGTTTCGGAGTTTTACTTTTTCAATCGATTTTGGTGACATCATTTACGAAAGATTGAGAAAATTTGTGCTTGTTAATTTTTTAGAGTCGAGATTTGTCGTTTAATTTTGCTATCTATTCATTAATTCTTGAAACATTATCAATTTATTGGATTAGTGATGAAGTTAATGAGGGTACATCTGATATAACATACTAATTATTGAAGACATGCCAATTGTCAAGAATTAATTAAACGGATGGCAAAATTGAACAGCAAATCTAGACTTGATTTTTCAAAGCATTGGTTTTTCAATTTTCATTGTTTCACTCTGATTTTTGTTTGGCTCTTTTAAATCTTTAGTTGAACTGTGTTTACAACAATTATAATAGCATATTTATTTGTTATGTTTTTTAATTTGCTAATTTGAAAGTATTCACCTTATAACTTTCTCGTATGGTAGATTATTTAGTAAATCTATACTATTGTCATATAAGCAAGTTTAGTAAATCTCGTATGGTTGATGTGGTGATTTGCACTAAGAATTGGCTGGCACAGTAACAAAGAACATATAACTATTCATTAATATTTAGACGAGGTAGAAACATTTGATGATTCAAAGAAAATTATAAAAAATATTATCGAATTTGATCCTTTTATTCATTTTATTTTATGAATCATTTTATATCATTTGATTATAACTAATGAATACATTTGGTATATTCTTGTCTTTATATAATGATTGAATCATGTGTTACACCTGAAAATATTGCGCTATTAGTAAGAGGTTAGAACTAAACTATTTCTATCGTATTGTTGCATTGTAATAATGAGTGTAAAACTTTAATTTGTAATATCATTTATGGTTT